TTCCATCTTACCTATAGGTATCTTTTCTTTCAACTCACTCAATATTTTGTTTGTGTCTGGTATATGTTTGAGACGGTTCATATAGTTGTCGAAGTCATTGCATATAATCTTTGAGTCAGGAAATATTGTATGGCACAAATGAGATATATAGAAACTTCCACCGAACAAATCTACAAATGTTAGACCATTCGGTAGTTTCTTAAGTTCTCTCAATAGAATATCTTTACATCTACTCTTATTTCCAAAGAACGGTAACGGTGGTTTTGTAAAATTCATTTTATATTTAATAAAAATGTTTTTTCCCTGAAAAGTGACAGAAAAGTGACAAAACATCTTCGGGGCTAGAGGGCACGAAGTGCCTGGAAGCCCCAATACTTTTTTTTTTAAATATAATCTAAATTTTTAACTCTCGAAAAAATAATCGTATGCCCCAAAATCTTCGATTAAAATTGTTGCATGCTAAGTAGTGTCAACGATAGAAATTGAGAGCCTATTAATCGTCGAGGAAGTACGATTATTTTTGGGCGAAAAGTATCTTAAAATATGATTATTAATATGTTTTTAAAATAAAAAATTTGAAAGTTAATTTGAGATTCTCATATAATTTTTTGAATGAAAAAAATAAATATAGTCTATATGAGTTTTTGAATAATCACACTTGAGATATATCTAAAAAATAATTAAAAATAGAGTTTGAGAAGACTTTTCAAGGTGTAATGAAAAGTGTGATATAGAAAATAATTATAGATATTTTAATTTTATATATTGTGCTAAGCATTATATTAAATTTTTAGGAAAAACACTTTTCATAAGTATTCAATATTTGAAAATACGGTCCAAAAAAAATAGATTCTCTTATATTTGCTTATATAAAAAGAAACTCTCTATCAGATGCGAATGCCTGAATTCAGCACCTCTGATAGAGAGTTTCCTCTTATATAAGCGGATCTTTTTCATGAGTTATTGTTAATATAAAAACATAAAAAGCTACCAATATGAGAAATTAAACCCTGCGAGGCACCAGTCTAGAACTGGCGCTTCGCAGGGTTGAATTTCTCTTGACAAAATACAATAATCAAATGCTCCAAAGTTTTCAAATTTTTATTAGGAATAGGAGCCTACAAAGCACTGATTATATATCAGTGCCTGGTAGGCTCCTATTCCTTCTCTAAATGGGAGAAACTTTGTTTGAATAAGATAACATGCGAACAAAGTTTCTCCCATTTAGAGTGGGATTTGGAGGGTGGGAGGTACATAGATAGACTATGTATCTCTCACCCTCCAATTCCCTCGGGAAAGTTCGAAAACTCGGTCGCAATCAGATGCAATTGCGACCGAGTTTTCGAACTTTCTATTAGGAATAGGAGCCTACAAAGCACTGATTATATATCAGTGCCTGGTAGGCTCCTATTCCTTCTCTGAAGCTGGGAAATTTTGTCTGAATAGTTTAACATTTGGACAAAATTTCCCAGCTTCAGAGAAGGAATTGGAGGGTGAGAGGCATATAGGCATACTATATACCTCTCACCCTTCAATTCCCTCGGGAAAGTTCGAAAACTCGGTCGCAATCAGATGCAATTGCGACCGAGTTTTCGAACTTTCTATTAGGAATAGGAGCCTACAAAGCACTGATTATATATCAGTGCCTGGTAGGCTCCTATTCCTTCTCTAAATGGGAGAAACTTTGTTTGAATAAGATAACATGCGAACAAAGTTTCTCCCATTTAGAGTGGGATTTGGAGGGTGGGAGGTACATAGATAGACTATGTATCTCTCACCCTCCAATTCCCTCGGGAAAGTTCGAAAACTTTGGTGCAATCAGCAACGATTGCACCAAAGTTTTTGCGTTTAATTGAAGGAATTGCTCTTTATGATATATACAGTTACAATGCATATATCATAAGGAGCAATTCCTTCCAGATATCTGGCAAACTTGCTCGCAATGGTTCACAATTGCGAACAAGTTTTGTCATTTGTCAAGAGAAATTAAACCCTGCGAAGCGCCAGTTCTAGACTGGTGCCTCGCAGGGTTTAATTTCTCATATTGGTAGCTTTTTATGTTTTTATATTAACAAAACTCATGAAAAAGATCCGCTTATATAAGAGGAAACTCTCTATCAGAGGTGCTGAATTCAGGCATTCGCATCTGATAGAGAGTTTCTTTTTATATAAGCAAATATAAGAGAATCTATTTTTTTTGGACCGTATTCTCAAATATTGAATACTTATGAAAAGTGTTTTTTTCTAAAAATCTCAGAATATATTTACAATAGTAAAATAAATAAGATATTTAAATTTATTTTTAAATGCTTTTTTTATATGAGATTCTCAAAAGTTATATCAAAAGTCTGTTTTTTCTAAAATCTAATATCATAATCTATTTCTCATTTTAAGTACATCTTAATTCATTTTATTTTCTATATTTTTTCAATATTTTTGAGGGAATTGTGTTGCTTCCCCGACGATAAAATTGAGAGGTTTACACATTGACACTACTTAGCATGCAACAAATCGGAATTGGGAACCCTAGTTTTACTACCTTTATTTGCATCAGAATTTTTATATAGAAAAAAATATTATAATTGTATTTAACATACATAGAATATGTTATTTTCATTATTCAAGTATGTTAAAATTGAAAAAGAAAGAAAATATAAAAAATATAATACCAGCTGTTTCGAACCAATCACCTTTTTGATATCTTCTATCATTTTACCATAACACTAAAAACTTATTTATTTATTATTTATAATATAGTATAAGATGTTGCCCTGGACCCTCTGGTCACTCCAGGACCCGGAAAACCGTATAACTTTAATTGTTCTCAACATGTTTTGAGATTTTAAAATTTATGTTTTTCAAAATCAACAGATTTGTCTAATTTAATTCCATATTCTTTGTAAAACAGGTAGATTGAAATAATTTCGACATTATTAACCTCTTTCACATGATATTCATCAGATATGATTGTATTGCAATTGTTATACGGAATGATATCTAAAATATCCTTGATTATATCCTCGGGAAGAGATTGCTATGAATCAATCAAATTTGCTTTGATCATATTGTAAATTGAGTTTCACCCTTCTTCATTTTCTGTAATAATCCACATCGACTCAGCGAATATATTTCTTCATGTCATTTCATCCATAAATAAATTATTTAAAAAGATTGGCTGAAATATAATAATATTCGATAGAAATAGTTTATAAAACACGATTAAAAGGATTCCTTGCTAATGTTAAGTTAACATAGGCAATCACCTGATCAAGAACAACACTTCCTTCAATGTTTCGAAGCATGTGGTGCTCAGCTTTCTCATGATAGATAACATGTACATTTGCGCCAACTTTCTCTCTGCATAAGCATGAGAGGAAGCCTGATGAGCCACATTTTGCATTCTGTTTTGCAGATTGGCTGCATTTCGTATGCGAATGCAAATTATGAGGTATCTCGTTTGGAGAAATAACGTCTGGGATATGTGGATGAGTCCGTATCTGATCCTGTTGAGATTGTAAGAGTTGGGAAAAGTTTTCTTCCGAACCTGGTTGGGATTTTACAATTTGTACGTTAAATTATTAGGGGTGCACATGAGAGGATCATGTAAACTTCATAATTTAGAACCTTATTTTTAGGCATTATCTTGGCTACCTATTTAGGCTCGAAAAGCAAAAAATATCAAAAAATACAACTTGAGTCCATTATGACCCTTTCATGGAGGTAGTTTTTATCCGCTAGTATTTTCCCTTTGAATCTCTTTACAATTCGAAATCAAATTCAAAACTCAGTAGAAGAAAGGAAGAATCGACTTACTACGGTTGTAATACGAATAAATACATATATTTAATTATTTTTATTTACATAATAATTGTTTGAAGCTCATATTCCAACAAATTTTTAAATAAAAACATTAAAATGTTGAAAATGTTCATATATTTTAATAGGGTTTTGGCACTTTATTGAGGAATTACTACATACATAGTCGAACTGAACTTGATATTTTGAAATTTAAATTATTTATCAAAATTAAAATTTAACTTGAAATTTATAATTATTTAGTCATATTTTGCATAATTCTAAGTAGATTTTGTAAAAAATCAAGAAAGAAAAATTTTAACGTGCTTTATTTTTTCTTTTTTATAATAATACATATTATTATATAATTAACATATTCATAATGTTTCACCCTTTCAAAAATATAATCCTCCTCCTCTCAAATAAACGTACATACGGGTGGCCTCTTTTTTCAAAAAATTAAAATTTGAAATTTTGGGCTCAAATATTAGAGATTTTTTCAACCTTCAACAATATATGTTGTCTATATCAGACCTCCTTTCTTTTTGATACTTAACATTGTTCCTAAATCTTAGCCGTTAAGGCTGTTCTGAAAATTTTTTTTTCGAAAAAATTCGAAAAAAATTCTTCAAATTCAAAAATCCCTTAATTCCTGAGGATTTTGGAAAAAAGTTTTTTACATGAACATGTGTATATTATATGAAGTATATTGATAAGGTAAAAATCAAATTTTATTGCATATTCATCGAGAAAATAAACTAACGAATCCCTCAAAATTGAGAGGGTAATCCTCCTCCTCTCAAATAAACGAACATACGGGTGCACCCTTAAGACCAAAGAATGAATCTTTCTAAATTTCTTTTAAAAATAAAGGTGGGGTATAAAAGATATAGAATTGTGAACCAAATTAATAAATATGCCTTGCGGATGATCTGATTGTCTAAAAAGTAACATTGACTGTGAATTGTAACCACTTCAATCACATTTCGCCCAGAATGATAAATTATTATCAAAAACTTCCAACCAATATTGAAAGAGATTTTAAAATTGAAAAATCTGCTTCTTTGATCCAATTATATGTTAAATGAGAATATTAATGTTATTTTTCTGTCATGGATAATGTTTTTTCAATTTTTTAACACACAATATTGAGAAAGATTAGAGGTTTTATTTGAAAAGTATATTCAAAAAATATCTCAAAGTTAATGTCCCCATCACCAAACGCAGAATACACAATTGTAGTTTTCGGAGCTGGTGGCGTAGGGAAATCTGCTCTAACTATTCAATTTGTACAAGGCCAGTTTGTTAAGGACTATAATCCCACAATCGAAGATGCATACAATAAGCGATTTAGCGTAGATGGAAGAATTATTCAATTAAATATCACAGATACTGCTGGACAAGAAGATTTCGCTGCTATGAGAACCACTTACATGAGAACAGGAGAAGGTTTTATTTTAGTATATTCCATTGAAGACCGTTTTTCATTTGAGGAAGTGGAGAGGTTTTACAAAGAACTGATCAGAAGCAAAGGTACAGAAAAATTTACTTGTGTTTTGTGTGGAAACAAAAGTGATTTAGAAGGTTCAAGAAAAGTTTCTAAAGATGAAGGTCAGGAACTTGCTAACAAATTGAACTGCAAATTTTTCGAAACATCTGCAAGGAATGGTCATAATATTAATGAAACGTTTCAATACTTGTCTAGAGAATACTTTAAGATCCATGGTGTACCGCAGCCACTAGATTCTTCAAGTAAGAAAGAGCCTAATTGTTCATGTTTGCTTTTATAAAACGATATTGCCAAATTTAGATTATGTATTTCTATTGATGTTTGTACATTCTATTAGATTGTTTCTATACATAATAAAGCAATAATATACTCTATTTCTGCGGAATTATGAGTTTTTTGAAAGATCAATTTTTCCAAATTACATTAATTTCAACATTTGACAATGCATTTGCATTTAAAATGTGATTTCTATGATATCTGATGAAACCATTAAGGTTTAACATTTTTGAATCCACAATTGAATAATGGCAAAATTTATGTGTTTTTATTTGCCCGATTTGTATATTGATTCTAGAGTAATTTTCCAAAATTTCACTTTTTCCGATCCAATATTCAGATTAATTTGACACATGTTTCGCTCTCAATATCCAGTATCTCACAGTCGCCATTAATATTTCATGGAATTGGATCATTAAAGCAAAACAATAAATTCTCTTCAATAAAAGCATCAAGATTAGCAAATTCATTTTTTCGTTCAAGCAGTTGTAATGCAGAAATCATAAATTTGGCGTTTACTAAGTTTCTCCATACGTCCATTAAAGTCGATTCTCTGAAATATTCATCTGAGTTTTTCCATACAACAGTAAAGATCAAAGATCTCTAATTCAAACGTTTTTAAGCCATATCCTGTTAAAGAAAGAGTTGCAGTCGAATCTCAATACGCCGAAACTTTCAAATTTTCTTACATTCATTTTGAAAATAACCAATGACTAGGTCTTATCCTTCTTGATAGTAATAATTGAGACTCTTAAATCGATAACCGCAACTTTATTGACAATTCCTCTGGTATTTCTCTAAAATTATTTGTAATACATCCAAAAAAGGCTCGAATTTCAGGTTATGTGATGCAGAACCTTGCGGACATTAATGAGATGATCGAAATGATATCTCCAGTAGCCTCTGTTTTCTTAAATTTCTTTTTCGATTTATCTGAAAGCAGAATTAGTTCTTTAAACCTTACTAATGCTTTTATGAGCAGCACGTACAAACAGAAATCACCATTATTGAACAAAATTATCCCTTTAAATGAAAAATTCTGAGACATTTTCGCCAACTGTTCTATATACGGCCAATTCTGATGAAATTATGTGGCTGGACAACAAGATATTTTATCTAAAACATCCACAAAAACGCTTTATCTCAAAATTTTAAGAATTATGCAGTATTCCTTCTTTATTGCCTGCGCTATCAGCATTCTAGAAACAGGCGAGCATTTTTACATCAAAGAATTGAAGAAAAAGATGATTGAGAGTCCGTAACAAATTTGCCCACAGTCACACCCATATTTACATTCCAAAAAGTGACAGTGGCCAAATTTGTCGGTTTCCCGAATGATTGAAACGGTTTTCATTTTTCTCTAAAATTTGGAGATATAGTATCATGATGATTGCTTGGCAAGAATAACACGGTAATTTTGTAATGTTCTCAATTCAGTTTCGATTGAAATATGGATAATTATCTAGGTATTTCTTACATTATTCGCCATTAGATATAATTTTGAATTGATAAAATTTTGTTCTCAAATTAAAATCATATTTCAATAAAACTGCACTTTCCTTTCAATAATTTGATGTAAAAATTTATCATCCTCGGCGTCAATATGTAAATTTTCTATCTATTCTTATAGGTAATTCTATTTTTTTATATTTTTTATTTTTTTTTAAATCTCATTTTGATGTATCCTATCAGAATGCTTGAAACCGAAGAAGCTCTTCGCATCAGAGGCAGAATAATAAAAACAATCCCATGGATGCAAGCTGGTTGTCTTTTGCAATCAGTTGAGAAAGATGAAGAAGCTCTTAATAAAATTGATCAATTGGCACATCAGATCATGCCAGATGTCCTCTCGAAGCCATTATGCAAACTTCATGATCAGATATATGCTTGTTTGTATTTTTACTTTTTGTACATAAGTCCAACAATCTATGCTGCGTGCTTAGATAAGACAACAGAAGATTATGTAAAGTATTTGGAATCTATACCTGATTATATAGAACCTTATATTGAAAAACTCAAAGACGACACGGAATCAATGAGTCGTTGGAGAAATTTTTATTCATTTATCAAAAATCACTTTTCTATATGTGATGGAATAGCGAAGCGTTGCAATGAGAGAATACTTCAAATGGATCGAATATTTTATGAAGATTTTGTTTTATTTCTTGAATCTCTTGATAACATCTTTAATCAAATTAAAGATTTAACAGTCAAATATTACAAGTACCTCGATGAGCATGAGACAGCATTGAACTATGATAAAATTTTTGAATTGCCCAAAAATCAAATACATGATCCTCCAAAATGCAGAGAAGATTGCTATAAAAAGTTAAACTAAACGCAGAACACTTATTTGAGATTAATAATTCATGGATTTCATCTTATTTATCAAAATACAAGAATGAATATAAGCATCTTATTAAAAATCTACCAAAAGTTGAATTAGAGGAGAGACCAGTTGGTTAATAATTTATATGTTGAAAAAGAATCAATATTTTATTAAATACCTTATTTAATTCTTTAAAAAATCGAAATTTTAAATATTTTTTTATTCAGTATGAACATTTCTCTCATGTTAAGAAATTGTTGGCGTGTAATTGCGTTGTTTACAGTGGAAACGTAAAATCGGGAGAAAAATCCTATTTTGGTAAAATAAATGTTGTAAAACTCTTAACCTTAAAATTTTTTGGACACCCTGGAGGAATCCTGATCGAGCAAGTTTGGAGTCTCCCTCCAGGTGAGGAGCATGCAAACGAGAGAAGTGTTTAACACTTCATAAAGTATCTTATCGATATGGTTAGGTATATAGTTCTACTTAATGGAAAGAATTAAATTGCGTTAAAGTAAAAAATGGAGTTATGAACTCATTTCGATATAAGATGCTTTATTATCATATATAGTAAATGTTTTTATTCAAATTAAGCTTAATTAGATTTTAATTAAAAATTGGCAATTCCGATTCGCTTTTATTTTGGAGGGTATATGCGCATCGTGAAGCTGGTAAAGTGGTTCGATAGGTTTGCAAATCTGTCTGTTCAATTTTTCAAAACGATTTGTAATTTCCCTTTGATTAAATTTAGAGGTGTATCAACTAAAAATTGAAAACTGAAAAGCCACTTTTCCTCACTTTTTCCCTCATTTTCGCCTGACATTCTATCGTATTTTTAATCCATTATATAATAGCATTGTATAATCTTTAATTAGTTGATAGCCTCCCGCCTGATATTTGACGCGGCAAATTAGAAAAGTGCAAATTATTATTACGAATGGGAATGTGAACTTTCATAGAGAAACCTTCTTGAAAGAACTTTTTATCAGCAAAGAATTATTTCAGAATCAGACCATACTTATAAGTCTTTAATAATAGTCCTTGAAATCGAATTTTTAAATTACAATTTGGTAGCCGAATAGTATCTTCCGTTTATTAGTTCATATTCAGAAATAATTTACAATAATATTCACTTTACACCACATAAGATCCATCGCGATTACCAATATCTTTCATCATAATATAAAAAAGCATTGAGGCTATAAGTTGGGCATACATCCTTCACAATATGAATTGTATAAGTTGAATTTTTCCAAAAAAATAATTGCTGAACAAATTTTATATTTACCAAAAATTATCTTGGTAATTTGATTAAGTCTTTGACAAAACAACGCTCAGTATTACTATTATAGTATTTTTAACTTGTTGAAAATGTTTTTATGCATAAAAAAATTTTTATAATTCCAAATTCTAAATAACAAACAATATTTATCTACATAGGGTGCTATTATGAGAAAATATATTATTATAATCAAACTCTGTTGCATTGTTCTTCCTTAATAAAGGGATATTATTTTCATGAAATATCAAATATCGATTATCAAAGTTAATATTTATCCTTTTCTATCTATTTATATGCATTATTCAATATATAAACAGATATATATTGAAGTAATGGTGGAAATTTAATCTTATGATCCAGAAAATTATGAGGCAGTATCTATGTACAACTGCATTATTAAGGTGTTCTATGGATGAACATTAACCCTTGAAACAAGTTTAGCTTAGATATGTTGGTTAGAGTTGATACACTTCTTTAAATTTTCGTAGAAATGAGAGAAAATTAGATCGTTTTGAAACGAATTTAAATAATACCCCTGATGTGCTGAAATAAAATACTAGGGATTTAATGTTTAAAACTAATTTTGTATACTTATAGTTCAGATTAAAAAATAGTTTGCCCAACGAATGTAAAATTCAAAGATTTGATATTAAGTATAAATTTTTATCTACCAAAGAACAATCTCTACTAAGAATCTGTGAAACTTTATTCGAATAAACATTAATTTGAAGAAAGTTTCTTAATTATTTATAACAAACCAAAGGACATAAGGTATGTATGCAATGTCAATGCCCCTCTTTGCCTTGATACCAAAAATGACAAAACTTGTTCAACATTTTTGTTGGAAATCCTAGTGAAGTATAAGTGCCTTTTTATTTTTACTGTACATGTTTAAATCATGAAAAAATTCTCCCAATAATAATATTTTTCTCATTATGATTAGAAAAAGATATCAATTTCTAAATCGCAATATAGCGGCATGCGGTGCGATTGCACAAGGTAGGGCATAAAGAAAACATTCTTGATAGTTAAAACGACATCAAGGAAAAGTTTTTTTTTTCTTGATCTGTTTGATTTCGCAATTAAATAGAAGGACTAATAAAGAATAGCAGCAAAATCAAGTATTCGGTTGGCTATTGGAGCCATCATTTGGGGTTCTGTTCACTGGCCAATTTGGATCATTGCATTTTGCGTGAAAAATTAACCTAGCTTCTAGCTCTGCCTTAATCTGTTCGGCTTTTGTGTAATTTGATTTCCCTTGAGGAATAATATTAATATTCGATGAAACATCAGATAAAATACTACTCATTTCTTCTAAAGATTCTGCTAATTGTTGCGTACATTTAACATTTTCTTCTAATAGCTTACAAAGCGGATGATCTTGATTTTTTTGCATTTCGTCGGATAATTGCGAAATTATTTCATCAATAGGATCGATTTGAGGCTCCTTAAAAGGAATTTGTTTAAATCGGAATTGCCTTCGCATTAAAATATTGTATGTTTGAGAATTTGAATCCATGAAGTGATGAAAAGTGACAATATTTTTTTGTAAAATTGTCAAGTTTTCAAATGCCAAAGATCGAACCCTACTCTCTCCTTATATACAGCACACGTACTACTGACTGCCTCTACCATAAGGAATGGCAAGCACAGCAAGCTGATACAGCAACTCGTGAGGATAGAGAAAGACTTTTATTCGGTCTTTTATTTTCACTCAGGCGTACAGCCCTCAAAATGTCACCACAAAGCAAGCCAGGCATGTTCAGCAATTTAACAACTAGCGGATATAAACTACATTTCTATCAAACAAGTACAGGCTACATGTTCGTCTTGCTGACACCACCAAATGTTAAGGGACTTCGTCAGAGGCTCATTAACTTCTACTCTCAAGTTTTCCTTACAAATGTTGTTATGAATCCACTTTATGAGCTTGATACACAAATTAAGATTCCGGCATTCGAAACAGAAGTTGAGAAATTCGATTTTATTGCTGCATAAAATCATAAACATTGTTTCCTGAAAATTAAAGCTCTACATTCGATTGTTTCATACTCATTATATTTTTTTTTTTTATTTTTTATTTTATTTTTTATTTTTTTGAACTATCACTACCCTTTTGCATTAACTTATTTCGGAAGAGTAATAAAGTTGCACATAAATCCGACACCTCCTTTGTAAACCATATTTTTTGACATTTTATTTTTTAAAATTTGGAGTGTTCCACCTCTTTAGGCTCGGGCCCTGGTGCATTAAACCGGGGCAGCAAGTTTCTCTTGGAATTAATCATACCTCAGTTTACACTGTCAAAAATTAATTTGACAGTTTACAAAAATTTACACAGTAGACTGGTTTTTATGGAAGCATCGGAGAGAATGGTACAAGAAAGCTTAATTTTAGGCCTATATGAAGTTTCCATTAGATTCCCATAACTGATAAATGAATAAGACGTCATTGAAGTATGTTTTCAAGCTATCAAATTTTTTTGAAATATCTGACGATTATAAATTGAGAAGTTCTGCAGTAAGTACGATTTACATATAGCACATATTATCAGCGCAACTTCTCACCGATAAATACTGAAAATTTCTATGTGTTTCATATCGTACATCTCAATAATTTGTTTTTCAATGAATAAAGATAATCTTGTTGAACAAATCTTCTATACATCAAAAAATATGTGTGGCACATGGCCAGTTGCAACATTGACAGAAATAGCGTTATTGTGTAAGCAAATGAGCTTGAAACAAAGAGATTTATTCGTTCAACAATTATTTACCGGTACACAATGGCAAGAACTTGAGAATCAGTCAAAGCTCAAAATAGCTCAGTTATTAGTTTCTCTGAAATCATTCTTCTACCCAGATATTTATAGCTCGATACAAACACAACAAGATTTGATCCGCGAGGCAGCTAATACCATCGAAAATGGCAAATTATCTGACTCTACAAAGAAAGTAATCCTTTCACTTATTACATCTCCCTCACAAAATAAGTGAATTTACTGATCACTTCAACATTTTGCGAATTTCCACAAATACTATGAATCATATAATACAGGAAATCATTATTAACCGTGTTATTTTTACTATACTATCATTTTGTTTATTATTTAATATTTTATAGAGATTAAACATTTTAATAATCATCCAAGCAAGTCGCATTAAGCTTCTTTTTGTTTTTAAAGATTAAACTTTTATCAAAGAGTTGAGTTGAGCAGTTTCAAAAATTATTTTGGAATTTAGATGAATGGTATTTTACAAATATAAAGCTTTTACCTTACTAATAAGATATAGTCTTAATTTCTATCCAGAATTCTTTAACAAGATATTTATTTTTGAATTTACTACGATTCATGCTTTATCCACGAATGCCAGTACAAAACCAATATGAATGGTAAATATATCCGGTGATTTTAACGAATTTAAGTCACTGATTGCCTAAAACCAATAAATATAGGAATACAAAAATGTGTAATTATGCTTTTAGTTTTGATTGTTGATGGTTAGTCATTTCTGGTTGATCCTGTTGAGTTTGAGGTGAATTTACTTCATCCGCAATTTCTTTTTCAAGATCTTCTAGTTCTCTTTGCATTTTTCCTACATTAACTATATACCTTTCTTCCATTTGTTTGATCAGTTCTTGTTGCTTCATGAGATCTTCAACTGTCGCCATTTTATATTGTCACTTTTTAAATAAAAAAAATAGTTTTGAGTGCTGCACAGTCTTTGATCTGGCCAAATCATAGCGCTGCTTCATCCACATCAGCAAGTGATTGTGGCGGGATATCCATGAGGGTTCTGCAAGTCAGAAGCACAATATATATGTAGCCTAGCTGCTAAGATAGCGTAGCTAGGCTGCGCAATTATTGTGCTTCTGGCAATATTAGTTGAGGGTCAAGGATGTAAGTTAACTCGAAATGGGCAATTTTCATTTCGAAATTTCTCATTTGAGTAAACTCTTTTCTGGTTCCCAAAAAATTTTATTTTGAAGATTACAAAATTTTTGACAGACAGACTATTTCAAAAATGACATTTGTAAATTTTTTTTATTTTATTTTTTCCCTGAAAAATGAAAGAAAGGCGGTAAGCGTACCACTTAATCAGACGAAAAGCTATGGAACAGCACATGTTAACCACGTCAATATCATTTCGAATATATCAAAGTTACTTTACATATTTTTTGACAGACAGACTATTTCAAATATGACATTTATTAATTTTTTTTATTTTATTTTTTCCCTGAAAAATGAAAGAAAGGCGGTAAGCGTACCACTTAATCAGACGAAAAGCTATGGAACAGCACAGGTTAACCAAGTCAATATCATTTTGAAGATTACAAATTTTTTGACAGACAGACTATTTCAAAAATGACATTTGTAAATTTTTTATTTTATTTTTTCCCTGAAAAATGAAAGAAAGGCACCGAAAGCAAAATTACTTTCGGGAACCGGAAGAAGAAGAGCCTGAATCTATCATTGGTCATAATGTTGACGTTCCACAGAAATATCTTGTTAAATTTGTTGATTTAAGTTTCCAAAAATGCAAATGGTTGACAGAAGAAGAGTTAAATTCAACGCAGAAGGGCGAATTCCTTCTCAAATATTATAAAGCAACACCATCATTGCATAAAACAGAAGAACCATTCTACAATCCAAATTATAACGAAGTTGATAAAATTATTGATAACGACAAACAAAAATATTTAGTCAAATGGAAGAATTTACCATATACACAACTCACTGTAGAGCGAGAAGTTCCAAAAGATCTTCTAGAACTCTATACAAATCGAAAAAAGGCAAAATTTCCATCTTTCTCTGAAAAGAAGTCAATAACAATAGAAAATATCGCAGAAATACCATCAGAAATCACATTAAATGACGAAAAACTTCATATTCTATCGTCAGAATACGTTAAAACAATTTATTATGCATTAATACATGGTGAAAACATCAGTTTAGCACAGAATTTATCTTTTGATGCTATAAAATCTACTGTTTGGTTCATAGATTTCTTAAATTCTGAACATAAACTTGTAGGACCTTATTTAATCGTCACAGATGCTGCAAACATCGAAAAATGGTATTCCTTCTTAAACAGCTTACCGAATATATCCACAGTTTGCTTCGAAGGCTCTCCAATGGAAAGAGAAAGAATAGAACAAGTTGAATTTTCAAACAAAAAGAAATTATCATGTCATGTTATACTAACTACTCAGAGAATTATTCCTCTCGAGTTCGAATTCTTCAATTCTATTACTTGGCGTGCAATATTTTATCATAAACCATTATCTCAATTTACAACAAAGTATTCCAGCCAATTACAAGCCACCATGACCGTTACTCTCAAACATTCTACTCCAATCAATGGAAATATTGCAAAAAGTGTCTTAAAATGCTTCCAAGAGCTAGAAAGCAGGAATATCCTCGATACAGACAAAGAATACATTGTCAAACATCTTTCTGACATGACAGATGATGCTTCTGAACAAGAAGACAGCAATTCATTAAAATGTTATGCAGTATTTCCAACTTTGACAGCAGTTCAGAAGCAAGCAGCCCGTATTATCTTATGGAGATTCAGAGAATCCATCAAACAAGGCAAATTCAGTCCGATTTCCTACGCATTTGAGAGAAATCTTGTTCATCCCTTCCTTGTCAACACAATGGAGTATGATTTAGGCTTTCCAGAGTTCCTATCCAGCAGTTCCGCACTCGGAATCATCAGAAAGATCGTAGAAGATTCATTAAATAATGGAAAGAGGACATTAGTATCAACAAACATGATTTCGGAGTATTATCTGTTGATAGACTTCTTTGGCGAGCTCGGAATCAAGTTTAAATACGACGACGCCTCGAAACAAGATGTATCAACATTTTTACATGCCAATTCCATCATGTCCGTTGTTCCATCTATCGACAACTTCGATACGATCATCATTATCGAGAGTAATCCAGGTTTCTTCAAGATGTGGACTGATCATATCTTAAATTCCAAAAATACAGAAGGCAAAAAGGTCTATTTGATCTCAAACTACCACACGATGTTCAAGAAACCATCCAAGATGAAATTCTCCGATTACATTTGCAGAAGAGTTGCTTTAGAAGCATTTTCCCAAAATTTACAATCCGAAATCGACGAAATTCTTTCAAATTCAGTTGAATTCAAACTTGGCGACCAAATAAAGAAACTCCGAAACTCCGCCGCAGAGCACGACATCAAAAAAGATGATTTTTGGTCGTCAATTGAATTTTCTGACAAAGATATCGTCCGAATTCCAGTTAAAGAGTTTGACAACGGCTATCAATTCTCTGTACACGAAAGGAATGCCATTGTCAAGACAGTATCATGTTTTTCATGGGGATGCTGGCATTTGGGAAGAGAAGTTTGCGGCCTCAATTTTTCTGATGAAATAATTGAGAAACTCTGTTCGAGTTTAATTTTAAGGTTGAAAAGTGAGAAAGCACCATTTTCTTTACCATTATTTATAGATAACGCGTGCAAACCAAATGAATTGGATATAGAAAGTGGTGCTTTTGTTTCACAACAGTTCTTTTCAACAATTTCTAGATTATCAAGTACAATTGCTGCAAGTTTAGAATCAGCAAATTACATACATAGCTACATTTTGGGGAAAAACATTGATGATGTCTTCATTCCTCAAATAGCATTGCAGTTGCCATGCGAAGGATGGACACAGGATTACGACAGAATGCTGCTTTATGGTGTTGATAAATACGGAATCAACATGTTCGATGTTTTTCCTGTTGACGAAAACAAAAAATTGAGAAAAATTTTTAAGGCGGGAAGAGAAATTTCGCAATACGATGGTTTGTTGATTAAAAGAGTCTTCTGTCTGGCAGCAACAATAAAGAAATTAATAATAGACTCTAAACCGGATATAGAAATCGGAAAAATTAAAGGTTTCGAAGATTGGTCGGAAGATGAAAAACGTGCCATTGTCACTTCACTTTTGAGGTATGGCATTCCTGTTGACGAGAATGGCAGCAAGAACTATGCAGAGTTAGCAGCGAAAGTTGATATATCAAGGAGTGAAGAAGAAATTGAGAAATTCGTTCAAAAATGTTTGAGTTCCACTGAAAACCAAAAACTTGCAATTGCTACGAGTTCTTCTGTCATTGCGATGTCGAATTTGAGAGAAATTCTTCATACACAAATATGTGAACAGTTGTTTAATAAAATTCCAAGATGGGATGAATTGCCAGAAGATTGGAATTCATCACACGAATTGGAATTCTTTAAAGAACTAGAGAAAGAAGGTTTCGGAGAACAAGAAAAGATATTTAGAGAGAAATTCCCTGATATTTTCAAAGGAAAAATTTCTCCAACAATTCTTCAGAAATCTTTTGTTGTGAGAAGAATCAATAAAATACATTGGTTCTACTCTAAAATAGAAGATGCTTTGAAGTCAAAGAAGAAACCTGAAACATCGTATCCAATACAAGTAACTGAATCAGCTCAAATTCTTAACATAGGAACAGTTATCTATGATAGACCTGCTTTCCACAGCGATAGATACATTTATCCTGCTGGTTACAAGTCTTGCAAACTGGCTCCGTCTTTGCAGGACCCTGATCACAGAGTAAGATGGATTTCTGAGATTGTTGACACTGGTGCAGACGCGCCAACGTTTAGAGTATACCAGGAAGATAATCCAAATGAAGTGTTTAATGGTGCAACACCTACTGCACCGTGGAGCCAGGCAATGAAGGCAATTGCAAGCACAAAATGTGAGAAAGGAAGAATTCCAAGCATTTCTGGTCCAGAAGCATTCCTTCTTTCAGCTCCAAAGGTTATAACATTGATTCAGAACTTGCCAAACGCTGAAAAATGCACTAGATATATCTTCAAACAAGTATATGAAGAAAGTGAATCTTCAAAGAAGAATTCTAAACATGGATAAATAAAAAAATATTTTATATTACTTCAAAATTATGTTTTTTTGAAAAACTATCTGAAGTTTTCTGGATTTCCTTCCTCATCTGAAAGGCATCCAGATAACTTAGGCATAAACAAATTGAAGACTTGTTCACTCGCTCTTTGAGGACCAAGTACCACAACTACATTACACTAAGACAGAGTTCTTCCGGGACCTCTCATTGTATAGATTTTTGAAGTGCCTGAAAGCATATATGAAGAGATATCTTGAATGTTTTGAATTGATAGTATCCTGATATCATGTTCAGACACCGTTTTATTTTGTTTCGGCACAAATCAAATATAAAATAAAAGAATTTATATAGTATATACTATTTTTAATCAGAAATATAATGTGAAAATGTTTCAAAGAGTTCAGAGATCATTTTCTACGCCATAAATCACGCTTTTTAGTAGAAGTGGTTCCACACTGGATTTTTGGTGACAATCAATGGGGCAAGCAGGGTATAATGCATACTAGTATAACTAACTGAAGCCGTGATTGGATCGAGAATTAAGCAAAGTTGTATGGATATCATATTCTAATTTCGATGATATTATAATATTATTAGTGTTTAGAGTATAAATCATTCTCTACTATCAGTATCACAATATGTTTGATCTATATTTCACAATAATGCTTAATATTTGGAGAAATCAATTGATAATCTTTTAATATAAATATGATTTTTCGTATAAAAGATTATTCACATGTATCCTAACACTATTATAATCAAATATATCACTGATTTGTCATTAACGATAGTTTTACATAAAGATATAAAATATTAGTTGTTACAATCGGTAAAAAATATGAAATCTGTTTTTAAAATTTTAAGATAGCAAATGAAGATAAAAGCTTCAATGTTTCAAATAAATTAAGATATTGAGTTAGATTGCCTTGAAAAATGATGCAGACACCAGCTCATATCTCAATACAATTGATAAAATAATATTATTTGTTGACTACATATATGATATTATCTCTCTGATGAGGATATACATTTTCATTTATAACCAAAACCGGCATTATTGTTGATTTAATAAAGTAAATATTTGTATTATGTATATTTATGGCGTTAACAAACTAGTAAGTATACATTCCAGATAAAATAATATTTCATATAATAAAAGTGAATTTTAGAAATTTATATAAATATATATGAATGAATATTAAAAATAACTACTTTTAGCCGATTTAGAATCTCCGTATTATGTTTAGAAAATGAAAAATTGAAATTCTTTTTAAAAATCGCAAATTTTCCGCGAAATTAATTTGAATTGGAACACAAATATTTCAGAGTCTGCCACCGTGCTCGATCAGAATTATTTTTGCGTTTTTTTATAAAAAAGTTATTTAATGTCATACGTAGATCTCCAAAAAGTGAGAGTGTCAGAAAATTTTCTGACAAAATTTTCAAAAATTTGGCTTAAATAAAAAGAGGATTTAGAAACTTCAATATATGATGAATCTAGATTTCCATTTATTTTGAGCTAAAACTCAAAATTGAGAGTGGAATCCCTTCTTTTTTAGTGAAAAATTCACAGAAATGGAAAACACAGCGAGGAATGAACTTCAGCTTCCTCGCTTAACGAATCCAGTGACACAAAATGTTGATGTTCCATTCGAAAAACATCAACATTTTGTTGTTGCTCCTTCCAGACCTCCTGAAGTACAAAATCAAGTTCAATTTTCAGCAGTAGCACAAATTCGGTTAAAGAAAAAGAAGTACACGAAGAGAAAACGTCGAGTGTTGCATTTACACGTGAAAGTGTGGTTGTTAAAGAAGAATTCGAAGATTCAACTTCAAATCTTTCTTCAAACAGACTTGATTCTGTTGCAAAATTTGATGAAATTGTACAGAAACAAACAGATCTGATGAACTTACAATCAAATGACACTTATAACTCTAATCCGATCAATTCATTTGGTCCAAACCAAAACGATTTGTTGAACTCTTTGAACATCGAATCGAACAAATTAAAGTTCGAAGAAACAAAGAAGAAATATGAATACATGAAACAAATTACACCAATGATAACAAGCGAATCCATGAAGAGTTGCCTCGATTCAGTCAAGAAATCACGTGAAGACATTTTGATTTATGAAAGAACGAGATATTTGTTGCCTTTCTTGAATCCAGAAAAATATCCAAAATCAATTCGACCTCAAAAGAAAGAACAAATTCAAATTTTGACACCAAAATTGTTGCAGTACAATGAAATATCGCCAATTTTCATGCAGCATATTTCTATTTTGATCAATTACATTCATTCAAACCCTGAGTTATTCGCTAAAGGAATTCTTGAAAGATCAAACAAAGAAGATTTTTCTTATATAACAAATGTTTTGGTTCCAACTTTATATGGTTTCTTTGTTTCTCATGAGTATTTCTCGAATGCGTTTATATTCTATGCTCACATTGTAAGGCTCTGCAAACCAGATGTTTGCATGCAAGTTGTCTCTCCTTATTTCTGCTCAATTGGATCATTCAGATTCATTGAACAAATCATGTCAAAATTTGCTCTAAAATTACAAAATGAAGTTGGTTTTGACAATCCACAAAAAGTTCCTTTGCTGATGTCTGTTTATGTGAATATACTGGCAGAGATGATCATTAATGATCGAAAACTTCTTCCAAGCCAAATAAAGATCATTTTATATGGTGCAAAAACTCAAAAATGGCCAAAAGAAGATTTAATTTCATTGTTTTTTGATAAGTTCTTCACACCTATGGCTATTCATTGGCCAGAAGCATCAACATGCTCTCCTTACACTCCTTTCTTGAAGATGATCATTGATAATATCACGAAAAACTCAAATTTGGCAATGAATATCATCAGTAAATTTTTGCATGAAAGTTCTTATTCTGAATTGCCAAGTTTTTATTCTCCTTTCAAACAAGAGTTTAGAATGTATATATTGTCACATGCAGAAGCTGAATACGCAATCAAGATAGTGAAGAGTGTTGTTGATCTTCCAATAACACTCAATGAATTAATCCATCATCAAGTTCATCCTGATGAAAGACACAGACCTTTCTTCAGTTGTGTTTTCCCTAAAAATCAAAAAATGCTTCCATTGAAATTCAGACCTTTGTTGTTCCCTGAATCAACAAATCCTGAATATCCAGAGAACCAAGAACTCGAGAGAGTAGTTCGAGAAATTCAAAGTCATTGCCCTCCAGGAACATCCGCCTTCGAAAAACTACAAAATTCGAAAGATGAAAATCTCAGAAATTATGCTTTATTTAGAGCAATTTCTGACATTCAAAAACAACAAGAGAATTTTGAAGTTTTCATTTGGTTCTCTGTTCACAAAAACATCATCAATGAATGGAGAGAAGTATCTATGAGATCTCATGAATGCGCTTTGCGTCCTTTGGCCCACAAATCATTAAGTAGTTTGCAAGTCAATGGAATTGAAAATTGTTTGAAATTATTGAGCGATTCATTCGGAACTCCTAACTTGCAGAGGAATCTTTTTATGTTCATGATCATTCCTAAGATAAATAGCACACGTGAGAAAGTATCAAAGAAAATCAGCGGATTGACTGAATGGTGGAAGAACTACATTGAAAAACAAATCAAAACTCTTGACACCAAAAACTTTTTGGATAAAAGATCAAATATTGTCAAAGAACAATATTGGGATGCTGTTGAATACCTTAAGAGTGTCATGAGAGTTCCAGCTTCATTGGCTTTGGATGTTATCAATCAGGCAGTTAAAAGATTGCGAAATATTTCTAGGGATAAAGAAGAGTTGAACTTCCTTTTGAGCATGGCCTGCGCAATGTCTCAATTCAAACAATTGCTTGAAGTATTCTTGATGATCAATGAACTAGTTGTGAAGGACTCTCTTTTCAAGAAAATGATGTCTGATGAAGAAATGATGAACTGGACAATCATCGAAAGGTTCATTCTGAATGTAACATCGACTGATCTTTCTATTCAGAAGAGTTACTTGAATTTACAAAATTCAATCAGAATTTAATACTTATTTAAAGACTGTTTGTATATTAATTCTAATTTATTTTTCATATGCTTGTATTTGATTTTTAAATTGTCAAGGATATATACGAGCATTGTGTCATTCTGAGAGGAATACAGTGGCAATGATTCCAAGAATGACACATTGTGACCAACAACAGTGCATAATACACTCTTGTCGGTCAAAGTTCCGCATTCAAGTTATGAATGCGGAACATTGTGTCATTCTGAGAGGAATACAGTGGCAATGATTCCAAGAATGACACATTGTGACCAACAACAGTGCATAATACACTCTTGTCGGTCAAAGTTCCGCATTCAAGTTATGAATGCGGAACATTGTGTCATTCTGAGAGGAATACAGTGGCAATGATTCCAAGAATGACACATTGTGACCAACAACAGTGCATAATACACTCTTGTCGGTCAAAGTTCCGCATTCAAGTTATGAATGCGGAACATTGTGTCATTCTGAGAGGAATACAGTGGCAATGATTCCAAGAATGACACATTGTGACCAACAACAGTGCATAATACACTCTTGTCGGTCAAAGTTCACCAATCATATTCTGATTGCGGAATATTGTGCCATTCACTTTTCTCTACTTCCTTTGAATATGAAAAAAAAACTCAAAAAAAGATAAATTTCATTTTAAAGTTATTTTGGACACCCTCTGAAAAAAAATAAGGTACTTTTTTTCAGAATGAATAAAATCATAACAAATATTTCGGATTTTAATTTACAATCATATTCGGATTACGACCAATCACATCCATTTGGGAATTTTCCAACCGAAACTAACATTCAACTTGCTCGTTGCCCACAATGTGGAGTATTAGTTACAGATTCTTCTTTAGAAATTCATTTAAAAACGCATACAAAGCTATTAAACGAAAATAAAGTCCAAGTAAACTATAGATTCCCTACAGCTTCTCCATTTCATCTACCATTTCACTGTGCATATGAAGAAAAATGGAACTACGTAGCAAGCCATTTGGAAGAATAGAATATCCATGGTATGCTATTTTACTCCTTACATAGCTTTCAATCTTTACAAAAAAAATCGATTTTTTTAATTCATTTGTTTTAGAAACTATAAAGTTTTACCATGCTTTGCTATTTATCTTTTTAAATTTTGCATGCTTTCGATAAACAATGGTTTATTTATCAAATGGAAAAAAAAAACATGATCGACATTATTCAAATTGCAGGCAAAAATGTCAGAAAATAAGATGTATGAAATAAATATAGGCCTGATATTGGCATAAGAATTTTAATTTGTTTCGCTTATGTTTTGATAAAAACTTCACTAAACTCTCGAGTTTATGGAGTGAACTTGAAGTCCTTATTGTGAGAGTTACATTAAGCTCATTGTTTGCTTTTCAACCATTTGACAAGCAAATTATTACAATACAATTTAGTCGATTTTCAATTAATTTAAGTGCAATCCACACATACACAACTTTATTTAATAGCTCCTTGTGCATGTTATCATTCTAGTTACAACTTCAAATCGTTTCATTTTTTTGTGAATTTCTAGTCAATTTTTTTAGCAAAGTCAAAATCATAAACTCAAACTATTCAATTTATTTTCACCAAAATTTCCTAATAGATGCATTGCAATTCAAGTAGGTATTATTTATACAAGGTACGATGGGAGCTACTTTTTTTGCGCCAGTGGGGGCGCCCGAACCACTGGTCGCTCCCAATGGTGGGAGAAGACGATAAGAAAAGGTATAAATTTTACATAAAAATTCTGATTTTTTCATTTTTTTTAATTTTTTGAATAGTAAAATGAGGAATTTTACAATTGTTATATGAGCAAATATAGCTAATTTATCATTTTCTTCCTATTTATTAAATAAAATTGAATTTTATAATAAATTATTATTTTTTCGGTTTGCCAAACTCTAGCTCCCACTCCCATATGGGAGGGGAGCTTGTAAAGTATTCAAAAAATAGGGTAAACATTTCAATTTTAGCTACCAGCTCCCAATCGGGGAGGTGGCTAATGCATGGTAGGAATTAATATCAACCGGGAGAACAGCTCAAAATGATTTGCCATTCACACCATCGAATTCACCATCAAAAGCGCCAGCTGGCGCTGGCAATGCCTTGCCATAAAACTTTACTTGAGGATCATAAAAGAATTGCATTTAGAAGGCTTCCTTAAAAACAATATCAACATAATTTCTAACAGAAAGTTAAAATACTTGATTTCAAATGTTGCAAGCTATTTTATTCATTATATTAATTTTTAAAAAAACATTCAATGTAGAAATTTATTGCATGCAAGATGATCCTATTACTTTTATTTCAGAGATATCTTTAATTATGAGTTATATAAATTTTATAACTTAAAATAATTTATAAATAAACAAAACAATAAACATTTATTAAATAAAATATCAATTTACAGAATCATAACGTTCGAACAATTCCGAATAATTATATGGTCTTCGCAAATTGTTTGTGGTAGCGTATTCTTTGAGTTGATTATATCTTTTCATATAACTACCCTTCATCTTGTTCTCAATTAGTTGAGCAGAAGCACGTGTTGCATGAATATCGAATAAATTTGTTACAAACGAAAATTCTCTCTCGCACTCAACTTCTGTTGCAGACATCAAAAAAGTGCTTCGGCAAACTTTGCAAGTAAGGAACAATTCTCGATATTAACAAGCGAATGCCACAAATCGTATTTATCGTCATTATTAACGATATCTAATTCTTAATTTAATTTAGTAAGCTAAGAATGATATTGGGAAAGTAATGCTTTATATTCGGCGTTAGAAAAATTAAATGAATTAGCTATC